ATGGCCCACACCATGCTCTGGACACTCACACGTGCGTGTTTGGCCCGGGTCCAGCGGTAGAAACTAGAAGGAGAGCAAAGCATAGTTTGTGATGTGAAGTGTGAATGTGAATAGCGTCCGGTGGGCAGGGAATATCGACGATGACAATACTTGGGCTTTGCTTCTTCAATCACCCATATATTTCAAACAAACCACATCTAACATGTCACATCACAATTATCTTTTATTTTAGGCTTTTCAAACAAAATATTTCGGAAAGTATCATAACTCTTTAGTTTGGTTCTTGAAATTTATAATCGATAAAAATAATCATTGAGTTTGTTCATTGTCAATCATCTTGATTATTCTGTAATAAAAAAATCTCTTTTAAATAAGAAAAAAAATTGAAAAAAAAAAACTTAATTTAATAAACAATGGCCAAAATAATTTCACAAAAGTTGAAGTTATTTTTGTCTATTTCATTTTTATTTAATAGATATTTTTACGAATTGACCAAAATAATTGACGAACACTTCTATCAATTTTAAATCTCAAAGACCAGATGAAAAGTTATGTCAATCTCATAAACCATTTTGAATAAAAAAAACCTTTATTTTACTTGTTCCAATGATGAAGAAAAACTTATGCAGGACTGCCCTTTGCCGTGTTCACAGCATCAAACAATAAGAATATTCAACGAATCAATTAAACAAACTTAAGCAAAAAGGAAGGTTCATATTTCATCTGGTTTATAAATTCCGATATCCGTCTACGAAATTCACATGGCAAGATGGACCCTATAATATGAACATCTGCTCATTAACTCTATTCTTATCTACAAACACCCGACACTCTGCTGTCTTCTCCCGTTTTCCCTTCCATTTAGCATGGCGTTTCTGTCTCCGCTATTGCCTCTTGACAATTCAACACCGTTCTGAGGCTCGATGTATACACTCGTAAGCTCTGTTGGCTGCACACTAAGACTATTGGCGTTGTTAGTCAAGGAATCATCGCGATTTTGAGACTCTGCCAGCATCTGAAAGTACGCATGCGGTCCCCAACCTGCCCATCCAACAACATCAAGAGAAAGAATCTTGTCAACAATGATTCCGGACTACTTAAATGCACACAAGTTCAAATAAGCTCCTTACACAATTTAATGAACCGTAGAAACCTTAGTTTTTCAATGCAAGAAAAAATGCTCATGGACTCGACGGAATTAGTAAACCTCTGCAAAGAAGATAGTTATTAAAAAGAACAGCAAAGCTATACGGTGGGTAAAATTACCATCTGTTTCATATGGGGGTGGAAAGAATTGCAGGTAACAAAATGAAGCAATGGTGATTCCTGCACAAAATAAATATACATATTAGAAATATGGAAACTCGACAAATATCTTTTTTCTCAAAAAAATCATGCCAATGATGCTAGAGGCAGACAAGGTACCTATAAGCCCGCCAGCAAAAACATCTTGCCAATGATGCCAATAGTCATCAACTCGAGAAACTGCCACCAGCGCTGCAGTAAGTAGTGGTAAAATGACAATACAGAGCTTTGCAACATGTCCCCTACGATCAAACACCCTAACTTTCCCCGATAAGTACCATGCAAGGAAACCAAGCCCAGCAAAGGACCCTGCATGTTGACAACCGCACTGTCATTTAAGCTACACGATACAAAGTCAAACATACATATGCACTAAAGAAAATACATAGGCAGCATGCAGCCCTTAAGAGACATTAAACACATCCCAGAACATCCCTAATCTTTAATCCTCTTTCCTGTACAGTTTCCCGAAGTATCAAAATGCTTACATGAAGTATGCCCGCTTGGGAAGCTTTTATGCCCTTCCTTAATGACACTCTTGATGCCAGTACATATGACATCCTTTGTGGTCGGATCAAATACCTGGACATGGACATGGATCAATCGTACGTCATATGTGCGTATAAGTGAGGAGGATCCAGAATTAAACAATGAAAAGTTCATTTCACGAAAAATCAAAAGGTATAAATAATTTTCTGCACTAGAAGGCCCACCCCTTTTCCATCAGGGAAACAACGCCAAAAGAAGTCTGGACGAGGTCGACCAACACCATCTTTGATCGCATCAGTTAAAACAGCGGTTATGAAGACAGAGAATAGAAGGCCTGAATGAGCATGGATATAAAATGTAAGGGTTAACAAAATACAACAACATGCAAACAACATTCACCAATGCGAAAGTCACAAAAAGGAAAAAGAAAGAGACGATAGTTACCCAAACTGGCATGGTGCAGATCATAGACATCCTTTCGGATGAAGTAGTACACAAGAATGACAACAAGCGGCATCAATACCGCAATTATCTGTGCCAGAAGTACAACATAAGATTCTTCTTTTCCTTACAGTGTCATCACAAAAGCGAGACCGATGCAAAAGTTAAACTATCCAAATTTTACCAGCATGACATTGTTTTCGCAAAACCAAAAACGTACCGGAACAGCCCAGAAGGGAACTGTATTGTCTTTCAAAGGGTAACTCAGGTCTGTCATCATGTCCTCCCCAACAAAGCGGTGAAACGGCTCTATCAAGTTCAAACCGAGATCAATCCCGGCGAGAACCAACAGAATCAGCCAATCATGCATATGAATCCTTACCACCTTAACTCCATGGGACTTTACAGTGTGGCAACCCAACTGAACTTCTGGCATTTTTCACTAACTGGAAATGAAAAACAAAAAGATAAACACTGTAAGTATCTTGTATTCATATCTTAATCTCACTGCCATTTCAAATTAAGGGAAAGAAAAAGTTGAAATAATAAGATTAAATTCAACATTTCGGCTTGAATGATATCGATCGAGTATTTCCAATTTATCTTTCTTCGGGGAAACTCATGGAAATCTAGTTTCTTTAATTTTCCTTCATTTTCTAGGCAACCAAACAGAAAACTTGAAGAAACAAACTACAATAAGTTACACAGACACGGTAAACATAAAAAATTAAATGAACAATTTGAAACAAGAACTTTACAAAGTGCAAAAAAAAGTTAACAAAAACTAACAGAGAGAGATAGAGAGGTACATACATGCAATTTCCGTACGACAGGAGCGAGTCTCCGAGCGCGTAATGGTGAGGGTGGGCGGGGTTCCGGCTTCGATTTTACGGCGGCGGACGGAGCAGCAGGGGGAGTAATTTTTGGGGAAGAAGAACGGGATGCAGAAAACTTAAAAAGGAAAAGCGTGCGGCGTGAAAGCAAAACAACGGAGTTTCCAATTTTGTTACGGGGAGAGTGGATCACCGGATCCTACTTTGCACAGAAGTAGGTGGATCTGACGAACAAAGAAGAAGAAGAATAATTGAAATTTTGGAATTTGGAATTTGAATTTGATTTGGGGAATTTAAATTAATTATCCTATTTTTAGATATTAACAAGAAGTGAGAAATCGCGGCGCGTTGCCGAGTGCTGATTGCTTGCTGTGTTCGGCGCGGGCAGCGACACCAAACTTAGAGCATAATTTGATCAAAACTAATCACAAGTAATTGTGATTTAGTTGTATGATTTATCCGAACGAAATGATTACCAATATGCTTAGGCGTCAACTCAGCTCCATAACTTGCAGTGCAAAAGAAACCATCCAAGCTTGAACTCGGCAGAGTTTTTGTGACTCGAGCGATTAAAAACATCAATTTTCAACTCAAAGTCTTTTTAAATTTTATAAAATTTACAGCTCGAATAATTAAAAATGCTTACTATTTAACATGTGTTCAAATCTCACGCGGCTCGGAGTTTAGTCGCAGGCATAATTGATACAAAATTCCAAAGGGAAATGTCTTTTTTTTAAGAGATGCTGTTTTCGGTGCTTAATTGTTGTTCCATTCCATGCGTACACAAAACTGTGATTCTCCGTGTTCTTTTCTTGTTCAACGTGCATGCGTTTTCTACTTTTATATCTTTTCAAAAAATTTCACCGTTGAAGGAAAGAGAGTAGGTGGCAACACACCATTTGTGGAGGAGTTAAAGATAATCAAGATTAAGTTAATTATTATATTAGCAGACAAGCTAGTTAAGCAAGATTAATTATTCAAAATTGGAGACGTTATTGGCCAGTGGTTGAACGGCTCAGAAAGCAACTCGAATGTTTACAATAATTTAATCCATTAGCGCGTGCCAACGAGCATGGAGTCAAAGCCCATCAGGATATACCTGTCCCAGTACACAGATTCATCCTTGGACCCTGAGGTATACCTGTCCCGATAAATCTACCTCAAACTGTCAGGTATTCGGTTTTGTGGAGTCTACAGATTACTTCGCAGATACCGTATTATACTCTTTTTCGTATTTTTACTTACGTGACGGAAACTAAATCTTTACTTTAGTCACACCTTGATAAGAAAAAAATTAAAAGTTTGATCAACAGAAGTAATGTTAGGCCAACTAAACTATCTTAAATTCACAAATTGATGATATATGCAGTTGACTTTTCATCCAAAATGGTCTTTGAGATTTACATAACTCCTCACTTTGGTCCTTAAGATTATCCATCAATCATTTTGGTCATTAGATGAAAAATTATGTTAAATAAGGATCAAAATGACAAAATTACCCTTAATTTAATAAACATGCCAAAATGATTTAACCAAAATTGAGGGTATTTTGTCATTTTATCTTTATTTTATAGAGATTTTTCATGAAATGACCAAAATGATTGATTGTGAACAAAGTCAAGGACCAATTTTATTGATTTCAAATCTTAGGGACCAGCCACTTATTACTACGGTCTAATGGTATTCCTCTTCATTTGTAAGTGAGAGGTCTTAGGTATGATTATCGCAAAAAGCGAATTTAAACCACATTATTATTAGCCCATTGTGAGGCTCAGCCTACCCCTCCCCCTTAGTGTAGATAATATCGTTTGTTTAAAAAAAAAAAAAAAAAAAAATTAGGAACCAAAATGAAGGGTTATGCAAATCTTAGAGACCATTTTGGCTAAAAGCCTATGCAGTTCAGGCAGTATCAAAACTTTCATAAATTCATCATTAGCAAACTAAACTATCTCTTTATGGTACTAATATCCTGTCTACGCAAGGTGTCTTAAACCGGTATCTACACGAGCATAAGCGGTATGCGGAGTGCCTAGACGAAGCGCGGCATGTACAATACTACTTTCCGCCTGATTCCATTTCATGCAGCCTAATGCTTGTGTATCGGTTTCCAGAGAATGCTGCAAATGCATCGCTATTTTGTATGTGTTGTTCGTTCACATTCTGAGCCCCCGTCACCTGCACACTCGGTGCATTGTTCGTAGGATTGACACCCAGATGTGAAAGGATACGCGTCTCCTCCAAAGCGGAGAAATACGCATAAGGACCCCATCCTGAATACATCAAAGAAATAGTTAGGAAACTGAGAAACAGAAACAACTAACATACTGCGGCGACGGTATTTTGTGGAAGTATGCAGGAAAAATGAGGCACGGATAAAAGAAGATGTGACCTTGATCATGATAAGGGGAAGGGAAGAATTGCCGGTAACAAAATGAAGCCACAACAAGTCCTGCAGAATATGAACCGCGTATAAAGCTCCCACATCCTTACATTAGAGCGTTAACTGAAGAAAAGAGATCGTGAAGAACAGACCTAAGAGACCTCCAGCAAACACATCTTGCCAATGGTGCCAATAGTCATCTACTCTTGAAATGGCAACGAGAGATGCAGCAAGGAGAGGAAGCAAGACAATACATAGTTTCGCCACGTGCCCTTTGCGATCAAATGCTTTAATCTTCCCGCACAAGTACAACGAGAGAAATCCTAAACCTGCAAAGGACCCTGCAGAGCAATGCCAAGATGTATCAGTTGTATGGACATGGATGATGAAATTTGAAGAACTAAACGGATCTAGTAGACTTAAACAGCGTAACAGCAGGAAGCATTTCTTACATGAAGCGTGACCACTTGGAAAACTCTTATGTCCTTCCTTTATGTCACTGTCCTTACCATGGCACACTACACCCCCAAACTGATCATAAACCTACACAAAGCGAAAAGATATTTAAGCATCAAATTTTACTCGATACAGAGCAGATTCCATATCACATTACAACAAATTTTCCTCCAGGACATTAAAAGATAGATAAGGATATGGAGCCAATTAAAACATACATCTTTTCCATCAGGAAAGCAACGCCAAAAGAAGTCTGGTCGAGGGCGGCCAACAGCATTTTTTATGGCATCCGTGATAACACCAGTAATCAGCACGGCGAACAAGAGGCCTGCTCTTGCAGATAGATATATAACCAAATTAATGCACGGAACAATAAACAAACAAAAGGTTCCGAGTTTGATAAAAACTAAGCAAACAGGAAAAGAAATGCATTACCAAGAATGCTATGGTGCAGATCATGGACATCTTTCCGACGCATATAGAAAAAGAGGAAAATCACAATAGGCAACAAAACCGAGTACATCTGAAGACATCCCGTTAACTTTAGTACTGCTTACATCAAATCCATACAATCCAACAACCAAAGGCACATTGATCAAAATGGAATTAGACTAAAAGAAGCAGCGAAAAACGTACAGGGACAGCCCACACAGGCACCGTGTTCGCTTTCATGGGATATCTAAGGTCTTCCATCATATCCTTCCCCACAAAACGGTAGAACGGATAAATGATGAACAAAATGAGCTCTATCACTGCAAGGAGCAGCAGTATAAGCCAATCGTACATGTGGTTCTTTGCAAGTGCAGCTCCATGGGATTTAATCGTGTACCTTCGTCCCAGTTCGATCTCCGGGGTTCTTCCCTGCTTGAACAAATACACTGAATCACTTCCCAACAGAATTACATTGGGAAATAGACAATATTCGATTTGAGTTGACTTGATTAGAGACTTTAGTTCAAAGATGTTTCTAAAATCTATATCAACAAACGAACAAAAAGAATCTAAACGCTTACTGCTTTATGCGTCACAGTTCGAAGCTACTACAAATTATTCTTCCCAAAAGATAAAAACTTGTTTACAGTTTAATCTCAATCATTTATGATAATAAATAACACTTAATAAAGCAATAACAAATTCAAACAGCAAGAAAAGCAAAATTAATCTACCAACCTGAAAGATACCCCGGAAGTTAAAAAGAGATCCTAGATTCCTCCACGCCATAACCAACAGAACCCAGAAATCTACAGGGAAAGTTGTCAAGTTTCGAACTTTCAGACGCAGAAAACAAACCCCAAGTGAACAAACACAACAGAACAAAGGAGGATATAGAAACTCACAAACAGAAAAGCTAAAAAAAGAAAAAGCAGTGTCAGCAACTTGGTCCGCCTCTATTACCTTAATAAAAGAAGACTTCAATTTTTTTCCAGGAAAATGTGAGAACTTTCGTGGAAATTTTCTGCTTGCTGCAAACTGCCAATTATAGTAGGAGAGTTACTATAAACTTTGGAGAGAAAAGAAAGACCTTTGTGTAGACCTTTACCCGCGTAGAAATGATCCTCCGTTTGCTGACGTGTACAGCCGTGTGGGCGCCCACGTCGGAATTTTATGGTTTTTGGGTGCTACGGCGTCGTTTTTGGTGACTGGTTGCATGCGGTACGGAGGATCGTGGGTGACAGCTGTGCTTGTAACATGGGCTTTGATGGATGGCTAACCGGCGGAATGGAGGTAGTTGATACGGACGGTTACCGTCAGTTGGCGGGGCTATTGGTCCACTCACCTCACAGCCATAAGTAAAAGCGACTTGCCGTTTTACTTTTTATTCATTTTTCTTTTAATTTTTCTTCCCCTTTGTTTGTTTGTTCTTGTTTTGTTGAGTTTGTGGTTCGGACTTTATCTTTAATATTAGAAAGCCAGCAATCAACTTTGGTGTCTCAAGGCTTCACCAAAAATTTCTAGACTAAAATAACCCTCAAACAAAAAAAAAACAAAAAACCGACACAATATAATACATTAAAAAACTCATGGACATTTTTGTCAGAATACAAAAATATAAAATTTGTTTTATTAACAGAAAAAAAAAATAGAAACAGATAACTCCTCCATTTTAGGAGAGAGAACAACCAACGTGGGGAGAAAAATCTTCAGGATTAGCACGTTTAATTTTCAAACTGCATATCAGTTTCCATACAGTTTTCAAACTCACACGTCTATCTTCTATTCCCCCATTTTCTGATCAAACTTCTTCCTCACACAATTCCACGTACAACTCTATTCATTATGTTTTCTAACTGCAGCCTACCACTCCATATTCTCTCCTTCTTTCACTACTATTTCTCTACAGGTTTCAGTTCTCACCCATTTGCATGCTAAGAATGTACACAAATCGGTAAGTCTCTCTCCCGCGCATTTTCTTTAAATTCGGTTTGGTTTTCTATAATTTGATAATTTTTAGGTTTTTATTTTATTGTGAAATGTAAAATCTGATCTTGGGCGTTTGAAATTCTTTCAGGTAGAAAGAACTGCTTTGAAATTCTTTCAGTTTTGGCAAGGCTACTTTTTCCAGATCGATGAACGTTTATATGCGCATCGGTAAGTCATCGGATGTATAGACGGATTAGAGATTTTCATTTTTATGTTCTTTCTGCCAATAAGTTTATTTTCCTGCTCATTGTTTGCTTTCTCTTGGGTGCCGGTAAGTTTTCTTTTTATGTGCAGTTTTTAAGTTACTTATGCATTCTTTATTTTTATCTCTTTTGCCCATATTCTGTACATCAATTTTGTTCATTTAGTCTGCATTTTCGGTACTTTTATCTTTTTCCTTCTTCATTTACATGGTTGCACTGCTCGAAAATTTTCTCATTTGTTGCTTCGATCTTTGATCATCATCTATTTTTTTATGCATATTTTGTAATGGGTTGTTGGTGGAGGGACGTTGGTCTCTCTTTTGTTTATCCGAGTATTACATTCGATTGTATTGCACTTGGTTTCTTGGTACCAGACTTTTGATGAAACTTACAGTTTATCAAATGATTGTAGAATGTTAATTATGCTATTTCTTAATTTCTACAGTTATAGACTTTGGTAATGTCATTACATTCAGGTGCTGAAATGTCCCAAAAAAATAAAATAAAATAAAATAAAACACCCCGATGATGAATATGCGAGGCTTACCGAAGACAAGAATTGTAGTTTTTTTTGAAGCAGCAGTATAAAATAAACGGTTAAGTTTTATCTGTTTTTAAGGTGTGCTAGCCATTTTAATGGATTTAGAACGTTTTTTTCTTTGATTTAGGGCCTATATCACGAAACTTTTAGAGTATTAGTGTTAGGTTTCGTTTAATGATTACATTACTTAATTGTTTTAAATTTTAAACTTTAGTTGTATTGCTGAAAGTTTGATTACTAAATTACTTTGGAGAAACAGAGTTCACAGTAGCTAAGAGGATACTAAGAAGCAAAGACTTACAACATACATATTGACTTAAAATGGTCTTATTCTCTTTTGCTTCTCTTCCATGTTTTGTTGTATGTTTAACCATTATGTTTTCTATTTGTTTTCGTAACTCTTTTTGCTTTTGAAGTTTACTGCTCGGTTAAATATTTGTACCAAATGCTTCATGTTGTTAAGATTGGGTAAATTTAGGGATTCATGATTGGGTCCGTGGTTGAAGCTCAGGAAAATTAGCTCAATCGGATCTGCAAATGGGAGGAATACCTAACTAAAAGGAGGTAAAGTTTTATTTTTATGTGCAGTTACTTATGCATTTTTTAAATTTCCACCATTTCCAGAGATTGGTGTGTTATGAAAAGGGATTTGATATGTAAGAACTGAAATTTACCAACCTCCCTTTTTAAAAATGGTTTCTGAAGAATGGGTTTGATAGAAAGGAATCTAAGTGCTCTGCAAATATGCTTGCGCCTCTCAAACCTTTAGTTTCCCTTGGGTGCCTATGATTCACATAGGGTAAGCTCCGGAAAATTAGCTCAATTGGATCTGCAAATGGGAGGAATACCTAACAGCCACAGCTAAAGTTTTCTGTTTATGTGCAGTTTTTAAGTTACTTATGCATTTTTTATTTTTATCTATTTTGCCCATATTCTGTGCGTAAATTTTGTTCATTTACCTTTATTAAGAATCATCAAATTTAAATTTCAGTTTTAAGATTTTTGGAGGACTCCAACATATCAAGTATGGAGGGAATTGATAGAAGCGATATGTCAGAGGTTGTTACCTTATCTGCATTATTCCTCTTTTGTACATATGATATATTTTTTCTTCTTTTTCAAAAATAAAATAAAATTCATTCTGTTTAGCAATTTCTCAATGTAGGTTGGCAATGAAGAAGTTGACTTTGGACAAACAAATATTCACAATTTTCAACAGTCAGACCAAAGGTATCGTAGGAGTAATCAACAAAGGCAAAATCATAGGAGCAATCAACAAAGACAAAGACGACAATCTATGAATTCATCACAGCGGGCTCGAAATTCAATACGACGACGTGCCAATTATCAAACCCGCTTGAACTCAATCAATATAGTCCAAAATCAAACGGAAGTAAACCAAGAAAACATAGGATCGACATCTGCGGTAACTATGATTTTTTTTTTTTTTTTTTGTCTCTATTCAATTCGTACGTTGTATTAACATTTTTGTACAAATTATTAAGACAAATATATTAAGATTGAACAAATCAGTGATTCTAAGTTGTCATTGCCTTTTTGTACTATCAATGCAAACATCCATTTAATAATTCTGTTATGTCTATAATAATTTCAATATTTTGGATTGTATATATTTACCATAGTGACCAACGTTTTAACAAGTACTCCAAACAAGAAAAATAAATAAATAAATAAAAATAAAAAATAAAAATAAAAATAAACAAAGAAGGAAAGGAATATTATGTAAACTTGGAATAACAGTTCAAGTATAATAGTCAAGAGAAAAATATAAAAATAACATCACATAAAGATATAGTACATCGATACTAAATGGAAAAAATTGTGAAGTTAAAAAAAAACATGCAGCACATAATTACACAGATGCAAAATCAAAGGAAGCAAAAAGCACAACCCAAATCAGAGAAATGAAATCATAAATCAATGATTCAGTGCATGAAATTCACTAAATTTTAGTAAACCCTAGATTCAGAGATATTGCCGTTGCATTCATTTTTCATCCGAAAACGGCAAGAAGAAAACCACTCTCATCCAAAAAAAATGTGTTTTTCTTTTCTGTGATCAATTAAAATAAACATTACTATTCATCCAAGGTCTGGCATCCAAAACAATCCACAGTTTTTGCTTTTCTGATCACTAAAAGCTACAGACTTTAAAGAGAAAATAGCTCAAAATACAAAACATTCACTTTTTCTTTGTTTTCTTCTTCCTCTGCCACTTATTATGTGACCTAGGCAGTCTCAATCAAACGGAAAAAAAAAAAAAAAAAAAAAAAAACGTAATGTATACCAATGATTCAATTACAAAAACAAAAGGAAAAAAAATACGTATGTACGTACTTAAATAATATTCTATGCTTACTAATATTTTTCGTGCACCATTACGTTTCTTGGTTTAGAGCAACGAAATGCATATGTTACTGATCAGACACAAAGCCAACGAGAGCAATGGCGGGATCAACAACGTATGAGGCGGAATTCAATGAGTTCAAGCCAAAGACACGAATATTTAGCACGGCGACGATCCAATTATCGTGTTCAACAAATTCAACGCTCAAACATAATGTTATTTGGTGGTGATGCCGATCAAGTTCAACACCCTATCATAGTGCAATTCGATGAAGGCAGTAGCAATCATGTTGAACGACTAAACATAGTGCCGTTTGGAGAAGGCAGCAGCAATCAAGTTCCAAGAACAATGCGCTTAACTCATATAAGGCAAATTGCCCGATCGAATAGGACACGCTTGCCTCGGGATGGACTAATACAAAGTTTCACTAATAATGGTAATCGCACAAACTACCATAGTACAACTCTGAAAATATAAACATCAATATCATCATTACTGTAAACACTACTTATTACCTTACTTCCATTTCATTTGATTATAACAGAAAATACAACAGCGCAATCGTTCAGTTCGAATACTCCAATGAGTCATTGTTATCTGCCCATCATCAATGAAGGTATCATTTTTTTAATATTAATACCTACAATTTCAACTATGCTCTCTAAATCATGAAACACCTTTAATGTTTCCTTTTTAAGCAGATGCTTTTAATCTCATTAATGAAAATGAGATCCAGCCTAACGAGGACGTACCACCTCGACATCATACTATGGGAAGAAGGCCAATTCATAATTGTGCTAGAAACTTTAATGAAAACATGGAAATCCCAAGATTTCACATGCCAAATCCAACCACATGTCCAGATTGTCATGCCCGTTTGTTCTCTCATGAAACATCTGAAATGTGTTGCTTACGTGGAAAGCTTGCTCTACCATTGGCACCGTCCCCTCCTGAAATGACTGAGCTTTTTTGCAACCAATCTGCCGAGGGAAGACATTTTAGGCAGAATATACGAGCTTACAACCACATTTTTGCCTTCACTTCAATGGGAGTTCATGTTGACGAAAACCTAGCAACAGGAAGACGTGGTATTTACACATTTCGTGCTCAAGGTTCCATATATCATAAGATTGGAAGTCTTTTGCCTATTAGAGATAGTAGACCGAGATTCCTACAAATGTATATTTATGACACAACTCATGAAATAGACAATCGAATGAGAGAAAGTGAAGCACTAAACAGAGATGTGGTTGAAAAAATCCAACAAATCTTGAATCAATATAATCCATTTATGCAAACATTTCACCACCTTGCGCAACGTCAAGATTTGCAAAGTTGTAGATTGATTATCAAAGAGCAGCCCGCGAATCAACGACAATATTGTTTACCGTCTGCATCTCAGGTTGCTGCAATCATAGTAGGTGGTGAAGGATCAGAAAACATTAGAGGTCGAGATATTGTTGTGCAAACTACAGATGGTCAACTTAAGAGTATCAAAGACTGTGTCGGCTACTATGACCCTTTACAATATCCATTGTTGTTACCTTATGGAACATATGGATGGGATGTGAATACTCGAAATAACAACAGCAGAAAAGTGACATGTTGTGACTATTATTCGTATCTTCTTCAGGTAACCTAAGACCTTCATCTCTATGAATACAATATTAATTTTTAAAACTTATATTGTGTTGAACAATGAATTTTATCATTTTAGATCCGTCAACACGACGAATCGCTTCTACTTCGTGGTGGCCGCCTATTGCAACAATATGTAGTTGATAACTACGTCAAGATCGAATCACAAAAGCTTAGATGGATGCGTAATAATCAACACACAATTCGATCTGAATTTTATCGAGGACTGCAAGACTCATTAATTGCAGGACAAAATAATGCAGGTATGAAGCTAATCAGTTTATAATAAAACATATATTCTTTAAGTTCATGTTCTGTCACATTAAAGGAGACTTATTAAAGGGTTGAAACAAAACAAACATATTTAGCCTTATTAACGACCTATAACAAAACAAATACAGGAGACGTCGGTCGTCGTAGGACTATATTACCATCATCTTTTGTTGGTAGTCCCCGAGACATGTATCAAAGGTATCAAGATGCAATGACTTTGGTTCAAAAATATGGAAGACCAGATATTTTCCTAACAATGACATGTAATCCAACTTGGGAAGAAATAAGTGATGAGCTACTACCTGGCCAAACACCACAAGATCGACCAGATTTGCTTACAAGGGTTTTTCGTGCAAAATTTGAAGAGTTGAAGAATGATGTTATAAAAAAAGGTGTTTTAGGCAAAGTACTTGCATATGTATATGTCATTGAGTTTCAAAAGCGCGGTCTCCCCCATGTTCACATGCTTCTCATGTTAGAAGAAAATGATAAGCTTAATAGTCCAGATGATTATGATCAGGTGGTACGGGCTGAAATACCAAATCCAAATGAAGAGCCTGAATTGTATGGTGCCGTCTTAAGGCATATGATTCATGGTCCATGTGGAATACACAATTCACGGTCACCCTGTATGAAACGTGGTAGCTGTAAACGAAATTATCCTAAGTCATTTGCACCAACTACAGTTCAAGGAAATGATTCTTATCCAGTCTATCGTAGAAGAAACAATCATGATCCAATCCCATTAGATCATAATGCACGTATAATGGTGGATAATCGGTGGGTCATTCCGTATAACTCATGGCTACTCCTCAGATATGATTGTCATATTAATGTTGAGATTTGTTGCAGCATTAAGAGTGTTAAGTATCTGTACAAATATGTTTACAAAGGTCCCGACCGAGTAGCTTTTGAAGTCCATCATGAATCTATTCAAGATGAAATAAAGCAGTTTGTTGATGCAAGATGGGTTTGTGCACCTGAAGCTTTATGGAGAATATTCAAATTTGTAACTAATCGACTTTATCCATCGGTGGAACGATTACAAATTCATCTTCCTGAAGGTCAAACTATTCATTTTTACCCTCACCAAAGAGTAGCAGATATTTTGGCAGATGACACTAACTCGATGACTATGCTGACAGAGTTTTTTACCAAGAATACCACTTGCCCGGAAGCACGACAATACTTATACCGGGAATTCCCTGAACGGTTCAAATGGAGTCAAAGAGATAAACTCTGGAGTGAGAGGATGAATAACCATAAAGTTATTGGCCGGATATATGCAGTCTCACCGAATGAGGGTGAAAAATTCTACTTACGCATCCTTCTTAATCATGTTAGAGGACCAACATCATTTGAGAATTTAAGAACAGTCAATGACATTGTACAACCAACATTTAAGAAGGCAGTGGAACAACGAGGTTTGCTAGAAGATGATGATAGCATTAGACAGTGTCTCTGTGAAGCCACTAACATTCGCATGCCGTCAGCTTTGCGAAGGTTGTTTGTTACCATCTTAGTTTATTGTGAGCCACATGGAGTAAGAAGATTATGGGATGAATTTCATTCATTTATGGTGGAAGATTATTCTGTTTCAAGTACCACAAATAATACTTCTATCTTGAACAAGCTTTTGCAAGACTTGAACGGACTATTAGTGCAACATAGTAAGTCTGTATCTGATTATGATTTACCACAAATAACACAAGATTGTGTTAGAGACAACACAATTCCAAGGATAATACAAGATGAAGTTTCACTTGACATCTCTGAAGCAGACCTCAATGCGGTACAAAATCTAAATGAAGACCAAATGGCAGCGTATAACTTGATTGTGTCTGCTATTGAACAACGAGACAATGCCATATTTTTTGTGGATGGTCCTGGAGGGACAGGAAAGACATACTTATATCGTGCTTTGATAGCAACCTTAAGGAGTAAGGGTCATATTATATTGGCAACAGCAACATCTGGAATTGCAGCAACCATATTGCCAGGTGGAAGGACAGCACACTCTAGATTTAAAATTCCCCTCAGTCCAGATGCATCTTCCACATGTTCTATTAGTATCCAGTCAGATTTGGCAGAATTGATAAGAAAAACATCAGCTGTTGTTTGGGATGAAGCACCAATGGCACACAGGTTTGCATTTGAGGCTCTCGATCGAACGTTCAAAGATATAATGGGCGTTGACCTACCATATGGAGGAAAGGTCATAATCTTTGGAGGAGATTTTCGACAAGTTCTTCCAGTTGTTCCAAAAGGTACAAGATCTGAATTGATGCAAGCAAGTATGATTAATGCTTCATTTTGGGAACACGTGAAAATCATTCG